ACTCAGTGATGGCAAAGCCCATCAAACACATTCATACACATTCACACACAGAGCACAGCATTGGGAGCAATTCAGGGTTCAGTATCTTTGACACGTGGCAAGAGGAGCCGGGGATGGCACACAGCCTTTGACCTTTGAGTAAATAGTGTCACCAATTCAGTATCCGACCAACTGTGAAATATGGTCACAATCCCCCCTTATGTTCCAAATGATGGTGTTGACTAGTGGACAAAAAAGTGGTTTTCCAGGATATTATGATGTAACAGTGAAGCTGACCTTTAACTTTTTGAGTAAAAACTGTCATAGAGTTAGGGGTTAGGGTTAGGGTTCATCCTTTGTCATGAGCCTAGAGCGGGTTCATTACACTAGCCAGATACAATTGATGTAAATTAACTATCTACTTAGCTAGCATTTTGCAAGCTAATTTAAGATGTTACTATTTCTCTTTTATCTTTTAACCATTTTAAAAATGTGGTTTTCTTTTTAACATCGATTAAGAATATCACTTTGTCATAGTTTACAAAGATTGCCATTATAGCAAGACCAAACTGCATAGGAAACACTAATCCTCAATTTCCTCCCTTTGAAGTTACAAAACAGCCAGCCCTCCTCCTGCAAGGGTAGAGACAACTACATTGCCCTTGCTGGCACTAGAAAATGAAATGTAACACATGTAAAGCTGGAAAAGTGAATGAATACTTTTGTCCATGTACAAACGAGAAAAATTATCACAATATTCAGTCAAATAGTCAGAGTTGTCTCTTTTCGTGGCTGTTTTCCTCCGTCTGTCTATTTGACTGCAATTCTCTGCCGCATATGGGCATCGTTATCTGTCCCAATATGATTCCTGAGTTTAAGTACATACACCAAAACAATAGCACGATGAATAAAAACTTCTTGCCTGTTGAAAAAATCAGGCAAACCTCTCAAATGCACAAGCTTTTGCTATTATGTCCCGCTTAAAACAATCAGCTGTAAAAGTAATAAATACACAATAGTGTGAAATAAACAAAATGAAGATTTAACTCAGTCTGAGCAGCCAGAAGGCACTCATTACAGAGGTTCCAACCCACAACCAGCCAGATTGTGGACTAAGAGGCTTGTGTCACATATTGATCTGTGATGAATTTGTGCAGCTCCGGTTCCAAACACACAGCTTTGTCAAAGTTACAAAATAGTAACCTCAGTATGAACAGTCAATAATCCTAGTAGCTGTGCAGATGAGAGGTGCACAGCAGCCAGTTAAGACTGAGTGGGTGACACCAATTAAATATATCTCTTTATTTCAGAAGGGCGTTGATCGACATGTCATAACACATAAACCGCCAGGAGTCTGAAAATCCAACGTGAACTAAAGCCTGCGGCGTAACGTCCGGACCAGTTGCACAAGTCAATCGAATGATTGTTCCAGCACAAACTAAGTTGACACAGTCTCAACTGTGACTCAGCTCTGACTGACTTTCACTTAAGGTTTCAGGCATCTCCGACTGCTTCAGAAACTGATTATGTTTACAACACAATAAAATATTGTAATGGATTTTCACTCCATATGCACTCATAAATCTTATCTATTTTTTAAAAATTGATTAAATTACTGTGTTATTTTTTCTGTCCACTCCAATGAACGAATAATATGACCATAAGAAACCACCTTATGGTAAAAATGGCAATAAAAAGCTATAATATGTAACTTTCCTTTTTTTCATTTTATTCAGGTGACAGTGTTTTTGGTGGTTTTTAACTCTATATTAACTATATTTGAACCGGATAAAAGGATTTTAGTCATCGGACGTCTGGATCTTAAGTTATCAGAGAAACAAAGCTGAGCTAACGTTACAGGGCAGCTGCTTACAGCCTCCGGGACGTCCTTTGTCTTGCCCAAACAGCGAATAGGGAGAAGCAACCAGTGGGACTTTTAGCTGTGGAAAGCTTTATTCAGTGTGATTTAGTGGCTTTTAATCAGCGTCCATTTGTTTTGGAGAGGAAGAGACCTCTGTGGATAATTGGGCTGCCCCGTAGAAACTTCGCTGAACCATAAACCACTGGCACCAGGACAGTCCTTAACCAGAAGCAAGCTGCTCGGGCAGTGACCGGTATGTTGGCTGACAGAACTCACATGATCCCACCCCGCCTACTTCAGCAACGTCAGCAAAACTTTGTATTTTGAATTGCTTTGATATG